ACCCTAAACCCCAAACCTTAAACCCTAAACTCTCAACCCTCAACCCGAATCCCGAAACCTTTACCGTGAGCTCGAGGCTTTTGACAACTTGGGGTTTGGGGGTTGAGGGGTCTGAGGCTCGCGGGCTCAGGGTTTCGGTGGTTGGGTTTGAGGGTTTATGGGGTTCCGGGTTTAGGGTTTAGGGTTTAGGGTTTTAGGTTTGCCGGTTTAGGGTTTGAGGGTTTACGGGGTTCCGGGTTTAGGGTTTCGGGGTGATGGGGTTCCGGGTTTAAGGGCTTAGGGGTCCTGGGCTTTACAGGAGGTGGTGGACCCAGAGAGCCCAATTTCCTTGAATCATAAAATAATGGCCCCCATAGAATTTAAGGTATATCCTAAACTAAGGATACTATTCATGGCCCCTAGCCATTACAGGATTATGGTACCCCAAACCCTAAACCCTAAACCTTAAGCCCTAAACCCTAAACCCTAAGCCCTAAACCCTAAACCCTAAACCCTAAACCCTAAATCCCTTAACAAGACCCCAGTTTAGCATCTTCGACCTCTGGGGCTCTCCACCGAGGCTTAGGCTTTAGTGTGGAGGGTTTAGGGTTTAGGGCTTGAGGGTTTAAGATTTAGGGTTTAGGGTTTAGGGTTTAGGACCTTAGTGTGTAGGGTTCAGGGCTCAGGGCTTAGACGTTTGCTTTCTTTCAGGGCCTCTTTCTACACCGCACGGGTAGGGACAGCCCCGATGAGGCCGGCTCGTCTTCGGAACAGTTTAGCCCCTCGCAAAACTCGACGTCCTCGCCCTAAACACCAGAGCATCCCTCCTCACCTGATATTATAGTAGTCGTCGTCGTCGCCATAGCAGTACTACCTACACATCTCACAAACCCGAAACCCTACACCCCAAACCCCAAACCCTAAAAGCCCTAAAACCCTAAACCCTAAACCCTAAAAACCCTGCAAACCCTAAACCCCTCATACAAGAGCAAGAAGGCTCCGAAGGCTCCGAAGGCGAAGGCTCCTCGGCTCGGTGTGCTTGCGTCAGGGGGTCCTGGCACGGTGGAGGACTGAGGATTTGGGGTTCAGGGTTTAGGGTTTTAGGGTTCAGGGTTTGGGGTTTCTGGGTTTAGGGTTTCGGGTCAGGGGGTCCTGGCACGGTTGAGGGTTTAGGGTTTCGGGTTTAGTGTTTCGGGTTTAGGGTTTAGGGTTTCGGGTTTAGGGTTTAGGGGTGCAGGGTTTTAGGGTTTAGGGTTTAGGGTTTAGGTTTAGGGTTTCGGGTTTAGGGTTTAGGGGTTTAGGGGTTCGGGTTTAGGGTTTAGGAAGTTTCAGGGTTTAGGGTTTAGGAAGTTTTGGGGTTTAGTAATTAGGGGTTGGGAGTGGCTTCAGAAAGTCCTACACCACTCATATCCACCATGCGAACAGTAGCAGCAGGTACGAATAATTTCACCACAGGACCCGACAGAAAACCCTGCAAACTATTCTCTAAAGCCTGAGAACTTTTAGTTCTGCACTCTAAAGCCAGAGAACCAATAGTTCTGCAACCCAAACTGGAAGCTTTGCAAGGCCTCCCGGGCCCTTCTCGGCGTAGCTGCCGTTTCTCTTTAGACGTTAGTACAGGGGTCTTAATAATTAGGACAGGGTTTTGTGGCACTTTGTACTATATTCATAGCATATATAGCATATGGAAGCCTAAGGAAGGAAGGTAGCGACACCAGTATGTAGGCTTCTATATTACTCTTGTGCAGGCTTGCGGGGCTTAGGTTCAGAGCTTTGGGCATAGAGTTTAGGGTCTAGAGTTTAGGGTTTAGGGTTCTAGGCTTCTAGGGTCTAGAGTCTAGAGCTTATAGGGCTTCGGGTTTAGCGCTTGTGATCCGGGTTTGTGGGTAGAAGGTTGGGGGGGTTGGCGTCGGAGGAGGGGAGGAGCAGATGCATCCCGAAAGAGAGGCAACAATAGAAACTAAACCCTAAACCCTAAATCCTAAACCCTAAACCCTAAACCCTCAACCCTAAACCCTAAATCCTCAACGCTAAACCCTAAACCCTAAACCCTAAACCCTCAACAACAAAACGCGGCACTGCGGGGAGCGAAGCGAGGCGGTCCTCGTATGTGATGCGGATGGACTCGCAAGGCACCTTCTTTGGCGTGCCGTCATCTTCATCCTCGGCACATGGTGAGGTCTTTGTGAAGCTGGAGCCTCCTCACCTTGCCTTAAGGTTTAGGGTTTTGGGGTTTGGGGTTTAGGGTTTAGGGTTTGGGGTTTAGGGTTTAGGGTTTAGGGTTTACAGTTTAGGGTTTAGGGGCCATGAGGGTTTTGGGATAGTACTACTAGCCTTGTCATCCCTCGGCGTTGTGCGCTGTACGCTTGGCTCCTGGCATGATGCTTCTTCAGGTCTTCGCTGGGAAGACGGCGCAATCAATTTATGGGCTTGTAGAACCCAAAGCACTACCCCCCAAAAGACTTCGGTAGCCTTTTTCCTCTCCTTCCGCGCAATATCCCTAAACCCTAAACCCTAAACCCGTTGGTGGGTAATTTTTCCCTTTTTAGCAACTTTACTGTCTGTGGCCGCTGGGCCGCTCCGACAGTGTGGCAACTGCCAGCACCTTCAACTCTTGCAGACTACAAAACCCTAAACCCCTAAACCCTAGACCCTCAAAGGCCCTAAACCCCTAAACCCTAAACCCTAAAAGGCATTAAACCCCTAAACCCTAAACCCTAAAAGGTCCTAAACCCTAAACCCCTAAACCCTACACCTTAAGGCCCTAAACCCTAAACCCGAGAATCCATTTGGGACAAGACGTCTCTGGGCCTCCGGGCGAGATTGCTCTCGGCATCGCCGGGGCTCTGATCACTGGGTGTCTCTTCGCCATCCATCGCCGGTGTGGGGTTTAGGACTTCGGGCTCAGGGTTGAGGGTTTAGGGGCTCAGGGGCTCAGGGGTTGCAAACCTGGGGGCTTCAAGGGTGCTGCGGCTTGACGAAGCTGATAGCAGGCCTGTCCATCCCGACATGAACCCGACATGTAGCCTCCATTTGGCTGAGGATTCAGAACTTGAAGTTTGAGGTGTAAGGCCCTTTCGCTCAAATCGAGGTCCCTCTTTGTCGAAGTCGAGGAGACAGCTGAGAATGACACACAAACGTAGTAGCAGTCCCAAATAGCAAAGGGTTCAGCCACAGCAACACTTACGACGATCGTCATAATGATAATGACAAGCGTAGGGGGCATTAATGAAGACTGCCATGGTGATCAGGACTAGAAGACAAAGAAACCACTTCTAGTAGCAAGACCCAAGTTGAATAAGAATCATCTCTACGAATATTAGTGATGGACATCCTACGAAAAACCGAAAAGCCTACGAATGAAATCACGCACTCAAACAGTGGCAACAACTGCGGTGTTTGCCTTCACAATACCTACAGTACAATACAGTACAAGTACAGCCATTCCTGCTTGGAACTAGGATACAAACAAAGCTTTTGCAAGACAAGTACAAGGAATACAAAGAGCATTGGTACAGAAGTAGAAGAAAAGACGTCCCGCCAGTACGAGTGGTACTGAAGCGGCTGATTCAACACCACACTAATTCTGACCCTCGTGACAAGTAAGAGGCACCTAAAGCATTAACAGTTGGAACAAGCGCCGTGTTGATCAACCTTTACAATGACCAAGTAAGCGAGTGGCAAAAGCAAGCTGCTCTTGCGATCGGGTTGCATGTGTCAGACGGCACTTCCCATTTTTGGCTTGTCTTCACAGTTGACATACCAAAGACTGAAGATCTCTGCTGCTGCGTTGCGGCAGCCCGAGTGAAACTACTTGTAGAAGTTTTAAACGCACTCGGGCTAGAAACTCGCGATGCAAGCAGTTCACCCAGGTGGTCGTTGTAAAGATAGTACGTGAAGCCGTTTCTCGCGATCTGGGAGGCAGAGCCGAAATTATGCTTAAGCCGATTAAACGATTACATCTCTCATGGTGCCGAACCGCTTGCATGGGCTGCTTGACATGCCACCCGTGTTTACGGGCTAATTGACATGCTTGCAGAAGACATCCGTTTCCGAGAAACGCACACTAAACCCTATATTAGCCTATATTCTAAATAGTACGACCATTGCTTGACATGTTTACAATGGTTCACGATACAAGTAAGAACCATGTTGTCATTGCCGTTTTGCTTCTTGTTGCTATGATTCTAGCCGTGCTATCCTAAGCACTCCCATAACTACTAGCGAGCATTGCAACTGTGATGTTGAATGTTGCCTCGGTTGCTCAAGCTACGGCACTAATAGCAGTGGTCGTAGCCAAAGCAGCGGAGCAGGAGGAGGAGGAGCAGGAGGAGGAGGAGCAGGAGTGGTGGCAGTAGTAGTAGCAGCAGCAGCAGCAGCAGGAGCAGTAGGCGGAGGGGGGGAAGGTCCAAAGGCAGGAGCCGCAGTAGCAACAGCAACAGTATAGCAGCAGCAGCAGCAGCAGCAGTAGCACTTGCGGTGGCAGTGGCCGCAGCAGTCGCAGCAGCAGTTGTTGCAGCAGCAGCAGCAGCAGGAGCGCAGCAGTGAAGTAGTATCAGCAGCATTGCTAGCGATAGATTATAGTAATCACCACACACACCCAATCAATTGAAAACAAACGAATGACAACAAAGATTGGGATAAAACCCACGCAATCAAGCCAAGCCCGGCAAGAGCCCCGGGGCCCTTGGTGGAGCAAACACGTCTCTGGACGACTGGCTGCATCGCAGCGTGGCTCCGAGCAAAACGCGCCTATCGCAGATAGGGATCTTTATCGACTTTCGCAATTTGGTCGCTCAAACTTATGGGTTCAGTAAAGGTTCGATATCCAAGCCCTGGGTTTAAAAGCTGGCAGCTGATAGGTCGTGGGAGTGTTCAAATCCTGGTGCCGGCACCGAGCGGTCCAGATTTGTCTGCAGAGCCCTTGCCACAGCGACCGTGGCCCTGGGCTGAATTATTTGTACATGCTCCTTTCTCAAGGCTGAGAAGAAGTGAGCCACATGGATTCAAACAGCCTCAGATCAAACACTTTGTGGGCTGGTGCTTGGCTGCCTCCTCTTCTTGCCGATGACCTGCAGCAGGCGAACCATGCTTCTGAGCACAAGGTCTTTGCCTGGACATTCGCGCGGTCCCAGCCCATTTACAGCGTTGAAGCCGGTGTGGTTTTCCTTGAGGCCCTGGCGCTTATGATTAAAGTCCAATGCGTCCGCACCCCAGACGACGGGATCGATGTTGGCCAAAAAGAGGGGGGTGCCCACTTTGGTGCCTTTCGGAAAGCTGTATGTCCGGCCTGCAATGTCACAGGAGGAGGGCTCCGTAGCGACGCGGTGGGAGACCGTGACGGGAGGGGAGAGACGAGCGACCTCGAGGATGTACCGCAAAACTTCGTCCTCGTCCTCCAGATCCAGGGAGTCCCAAACGGTGCGGGCATCGATTAGGAGATTGCCATGCTGGACGCCAGAAGTACAAAGCCAAGTGAACATGCGAGAGCCCTGGACGCCCGCGATCCGTATGATGCTTGACATGAGCAGGGCTAGCTCTTTGGCAGTCATGTTGTTGTACTCCGGCTTGACCTGGCTACGGTGAGACTCCCCTAAATGGAAACATGGTCTTGCCTTGGCTTTGCCCCACTTTCCTCTTCCCGCCTCGAAGTTGCTGAATGCCGGGGACTTCTCGTAGAGGTCTGCGACCTTAGCGATCTTCTCGTGCTGGGAAAAGAGATGGCCCATGGGGTCCAGGTAGTGCATCAAGCTGGACTGCCCTGCGTAGAAGGCATTGAGTGTGGTCATCACCTCCTTATCTTCGATGTCCAACCCAAAGAGTACATGATGAAGATACTTGGTCCAGAATTCCTGGTTGCCACCGTCCGCTCCAGTATAGAAGTCAAAGCCGGTATCTTGTTTCATGAAGTCTTCAGCACACTGCTCAAAAAGTCGCTGGGACATCTCATCGGCCTCCCTGGCCACGGAGGCCTCGTTCAAAACGGTGTCTACTACGCACTGGCGGAAGGCCTCGTGGTCCCCGGTGCCCCCCGCAGCCTTGCTGGAGAGGCTCAGTAGGAAGACACAGCGACCAGACTCCCCGCGAGGCAAGTTGCTTGGCAGCAAGGGGTGCTCGCCCAGCCAGAAAGTTCGGCCTTGGGGATTCTGCACGGCCTGGGTGACATCAGCGTGGCTGCCTAGCCACACCTGACCAGAGGCGCAAAAGTTCTTACCCCACTTCCCATATACGATCATCGAGATGTAGGTGCTGCCAGCTGTGAGGCTGTCTATGACCTCCACGGGTGGTAGGAGGAGGCGAGCGAGGAAGTTCCAGGGCCTCTGCAGTGCCCAGAGCTGGAAGTGATTCTTGAAGAAGAAGAGGATGATCACCTCGCGGGCTTTTCAGTCTTTGAGGAATCTCTTCAAGGGGTCATGGGTGCTTCGGAGTGATTTTTTGTGCACTCAGGAGGGTGGCCGAAAGCCTCGGCGAAAAGGTAAAGAAGAATGAGGCCACCGATGACGCTTGACACGTACCATGCCCCGAAGATGCTGGGGAGGACCAGGGCAGCGGCGAGTGTTGGCACCACGCCTAGCCAAAACACCTTCCAAGAGACCAAAGGTCCTCCCAGGCCAGCGCAGAATAAAGCATGCAATGAACTCTGTGATACATGATAAATATGTGTAATTAAGTAAGTCAGTAAGTCAGTAAGTAAGTAAGCAAGCAAGCAAGCAAACAAACATGAGCATGCATGCATGCATGCATGTGTGCATGTTTGGATGTATGGATGGATGTATGTCAATGTATGTAAGTACGTATAGGGCCCGAATTGCCTGTAGTTCAGCCGGAAGATCGAGGTCCCAGCACTGCGGTAACTCGCCATGGTGGCAAGCGGTGCGCCGGTGTCTTCTGGAGGCCGGTCATGCCGTCCTGTCTGATGTACCGAGGGCGGTTTGTCATTGTTCGCCCTGCGCATGGCGCTGCAACCGTACCTTGGCCTGGACTTGACTGCCCGGAAGAGCGACATAAGGCATTGTGCTGAACTATGCCTTCGACAGCTCACGAGCTGCTCTGACAATGTGTCGACCCCCTGCAATGCCACAGCATTCTGATCGTGGTGACGAGTGTAGGCGTGGTTGGGGGTTGTTTACCCAGGCACAGACGTGTGATGTAGCGGACGTCACGGCTTTCTGGCATGGGACTTGGGAGCCACTTGAACATGCACTAAAAGGCGAGCTGCCTGCGGCGAAGACTCACCTCACCAAAATATCGGCTGTGCAGCGCGCCGCCTTAAATCCCAAGCAGGGCATGCTCGCAAAGGAGAAGGGTGAGGAGACGTTCCGCGCTATTGCGAGTCCGATTTGGGATGTTTGCTGGGAGCTCTTCTGCCTGAGGCATGACATCCGACCTGACGGACACCTACTTTCGGATGACGCGATCGATGGTGGAGAGACCGCCTTCAATGTGCTTTTTTCAGTGCGACCTGGTGTTGAAGGACATGTGATGGTCGATCCCGCTGCAAGGGAAGCTTGCATGACATGTTTGGGGTTGACGCCTACAGCAACGGGTCACACCTCACATCAGGGATACACGGCAGTAAAAACGGCGCGACTGTTGTTGCAGACCTATTGTGGCGCCGCTGCGGCGCGTCCCATCGTGGTGGCTGGCGGCTCCGCCGTGGATGCACGGAGTGCAAGTGTGGCGCCACTGTGTGATGGTGCCTTGCAGATCATGACGCAGGCGCTGTCGGACCGGATCCTTTCGTGGAACGTGGAGGCTGGCAATGTCTCGTTTGATTCAGGTGGCGAGTGGTGCACGGATTTGCTGCGGTTGCTTTGGCATTCAGATGTGACGGGCGCTGCAAGAATACATGACCGTTGTGATTCGGTTTGGGGAGACCGAGACCATATTGCAGCGCTTGTGCGAGTGCCAGGTCATCTTTCGGCTGGGCACCCCGTGAGTGCATACGGCACTGTGATTCAGCGTGAATGGCTTTGAAGCGTTGGGATACGGCTTTTGGCTGCATGAGCCGCCGGTTTTATGCCCTCGCTCGCCCCCATCGGTAGCCTGATTACTGCTCAGCCCGGAGGGCTAGTGCAAACAGGCGCCAGCGGATTCCCAGAATTCATCTTGCTAGAGGAGCGTTCAATCTGGACACTCAGCCTTCCGAAAGAAAGAAAGAATGTATGCATGCATGCATGCATGCATGCATGCATGTATGTGTGTATGTGAGTTATACAAATACATAGATACATGCGTACATATACATATCAAAGGCAGAGCTAGCCCACGTGTCATATACTTGTACAGAGAAAGAAAGAGACACGATTCGCATTGAATGCAAATAATACTCAGACAGCTCGGAGGCCTATGCCAGCCCTAAACTTCGCAACGTGAGCTCCAAGCACTGACCCATGAGCTGCCTTCCCCCCAACACAGCACAAACAAAGGCAGGTGCCTCCCAGCACCGGAGTAGTTTGAGACATGCTGGAATCGGGCATCATGGGCTCACCAGTGAGAAATCTCGCAAGGTCTTGATGCTGAATGCTGAAAGAGCACACGCCAATGCATGTCAAGACATGCTCTCATGCCGCCGTTGAGCATGACAGCCGTCCAGGAGCAAGGCTTGGGGTGCTGGTCAACTTTACGACTTCGGATGGCTTTGCAGCCGGCACATCGAGTCCTGCAGACGATGTGCAATGAATGCAGACCTAGGAACATAGGGAGCGCCCCAACCAAGGTTTCTAGGATCACCCTTTTGCCCGACACGACATGTAGTTCTGCGCTCTCTGTTGCCCGCCCCGAAACACCATAACCTTGAAAACCGTACCGTCTTCGTTGAAGCCCGTTTCACAAACCCCGAGCCGTGCACCCCAAGCTTGACTCCAAACGGAATTTGGGGCATGAAGGACCTGCCGGGCAGCGTCTTGAGAAGCTGCTGGTACAAGCGGCCGTCGGGCTGCACGGACTGTTCCTCCATTCGAAGGAACTGCAGGGTTCTTGTTAAATTGGCACGGCCGTGCTCTTTCTGGGAACTTCCTCCTTGGAAGCCGCTAACCGCTAACAAGTCAGGGCTTGCAGGGCACGAACTAGTGGTTCCAGGTGGCGGCTAGGCTCGACTTCGTATGCTGAGCAAGCATTTGGAATACGTTCCAGCTGCTACCTGTATCTCTCCAAAGGTCCAAGTGCCCAAATAGCAGGGCTTGAAGTCGTATACGTATATATACTCTGGGAGAGCGGTTAATTGGCGCCTAAAACGCAACGATTTGGACGAGGGTCCATCTTCCTTTCTATTGGCGAAGACAAAGACCGATCATCCGATCGGTTCCTGTCGACAGTCCCCGCCTGCATCTGGTCCACGGCGTGGAGCGCTTCGTCTACCTTCTGACAGGTTTCCAAGGCACTTCAAAGGTTTAGAGTTCTTTCCGGTCCAGGGTTGAACTTTCGGATTTAGAAAAGGCCAGCTGACGCACCGATGACATCTTGCGGTTGAAACCTAAACGCGAGGCCCTGAAGTCCAAGCTCGTTTGTCGAGTGTCTTTCGGCACCAACTCTTGGATACACCGTTCCCAACTCGAACACAACAACCATGCTGCGGTCCAAGATTATAAACAGTTGTTCAGGAAATCGTTGAAACGCGGGCGCCGAAAAATGAAAAATAAGTACATGATAGTACATGGGACTCGGGCCCCTTGTGCCGACCCCTTTCGGCCCAAGCTCCCAGGTCAGCTATGGACTGCATTCGCCTTCGAACCTTAGCTCTTAATATACAATCTGCACATGCCCTGTAAAACCCGAACCCCTTGTCTAAACAAAAGCTTCGATGATGGGCCGAAATGCACGACGAGATCGGGACAGCGCTGTCACCAGGGCGCTCCTGAAGCTTTCAGACGGTATGGCAATGTGAGGACGAGGCCAGACTATCTAGCTTTGGTTTAAGGCTCGCGGCGCTTTGGGGGTTGTGCGGGATTGACTTCTTTTGGCAAATCAGTCAAAACCAGGGTCCCATATGACTTCTCAGACCTATCAAGACCCCTTACCACAGCCAACCTCATCGCCTAAGCGAGGCCTACCTGGTTGTAGGTTTGAAACGGGATCTATAGACCGGGTTGCTGCGACTATTGTCTTTCGCGAACCACGCAGGGGTCGTGAAGAGACGGTCTTCCTTGGTCTCCAAATGCCTCCGTTGTGTGAACGGCGGAACATGGCGGAACCTAGCTTGGCTTGGATACGCAAACTCTATCTACCCTCAACCCTAGGCCGTGCTAGACGTAGCTGTGTGAAACCATGGGGCAGCATTTCTGCAAGCGAGGCTCCAGGAAAGAAGATCCGCCTCTCAGAGAACAACTTTTAAGAAGGCATGTGACAACGCTTCAACATCGTTGCACCGGAAAGCTAGGGTTACTGAGGTTTCCTTGCCCTCCAGGAGTCTTGGGTTTGGGATTTTGTGTCTTACACGGGTTGGGTTGTGTTTCGAACCTGACACAAAGCCTCTATACGCGTCATGCCCTCTACCAGCACAGCAGTATTTCTTATGCAGTACATTACGCAACAGCTGTGCTAGTACAATAGAAAGTTTCGCTGGAACACGACAGGTGTCAGGCTTACCCTCTCTGCGATTCACGCTCCAGTGAAAGTCTTCCATGACTTCACCATACCCCGAAAGCCTTGACTCTGACAGCTGCTCTATGTAGTCCAAGCAGACACCATAAAGCCAAACTCACTTTGTGTGCTGCTGGGCCATCCAACAGATCCCGACTCTAATGTGCAAGCCACCCTTCCTTCAAAGCTCTTGAAGCTTTCTAGGCCTTAAGCCCCAAACTCACTCCGCGCCAGACCATAAAGGACGGAACCACCTGATCTCGTAAATTCAGCGACGGCTTGCTAATCCCTGATAAGAGTCAGAGGGTTCGGCTTTTGCGGAGGTCTAGACGGGCCATGATGTCTTGCAGGTTTCGGACTTGCAACTCGGACATGTCAACGTGGTTACAGGGCTCAAGTCTTGCTGAGTACCGGTAGGGCCTGGGCGCATTCTGTACAAGGGTAGTGCAGGAAGTCCTGCTCTTCGTTTGTCGAAGTTGGTGGGCAGCGCAAGGGATGTGGTTGAAATTGAGGATGTGTGGAGGCCCGGCTGTAGCGTTCTGGATACTCGATATCGGGTCCGGGGCAGTCTTTCGGTTCCAGTCCGGCATCCCAGAATGTTCATCACGCTATCTCAAGCAGTGGGTCGGTGTCATAATGGCCTGACTAGAGGACTAGAAAGGTTTGCCCCCCTGCCGCAAACTTCACCAGACGTTGTGTACAGCTTGAGCAGCTCTGATAGGGAATGTAATCATGAGAGGCTTAAGCCAAATGGTCCGGGCCCTGAGCTTGGGACCTTCAGTCCAGCTCTCTGCATCTCATCGAACCAGCTCTGTGCACCGTCCGCATCACGCCTTTGCCCGTGCCTTGGGTCGCCGCTAGGATTGTGCAATGGCAGCTGCAGCTGTTCTTGCAACGAGTTCTTGCGACCGTAGCCAGCTTCCTGGCACATCCCGTCTACTACCACCAGCAGACTGCATCCGGCTCCGTTGGGGGATCTGCGGCCCGGACAAGACAGCGCGCTGGCAACGGTAGAGGAACACAGTTACTTAGACGTGCTCCTACCTGCTCTACTCGCGACACCCTCATCCTGTAAAAGAAGGTCCACTGAGGTTAGCCAGGAAGCGCGGCAATCACGGAAGTGTATCCTGTCACGAATCGGTTCTGGTTCCATGGGTTGCTGCGTCTCAACGACACCCAGCTGGCACATGCCCGCCCACTTTCTTTGGTCCTTGTCGTCCCGGGTCCAGCGTCTGCGAAACCATCCACTGTGTCCACTGACCTGCTGCGATCACTACTGTAAAAAGAGGCCCGTGTGCATTTTCAGCTTTGAAAGGCATTTCGCAAGTGGTGCCGACATTGCGTGGCTGTGGTGGTGGTGGCTGCCAGTGCCGCTGGCGGTGGTGGCAGTGGGGTCGGCGCTGGTGCTTGTGCCGGGCAGTTGTCCAGTTGTTGCTTTAGCGGCGGCAGTGCTGCTGGTGGTGTTGGTGCTGCTGCTGCTGTCGTTCTGGCTGACGGTGTCATCTGCCATTAACAATCTTCAATTCTTATCGGAACCAGCCATTTGCTTCAGCGCAACCGTCTACATCGCCACGAAATTAGCACTGGAATATAGAGAACCATTCATTCACAACAAGATACAATACTGGCAGTGGTGTCGTACCAGCAAATACATGACATTACCCGGAAGAAAGTCACTACCTTATAACAGGAGTGCCATCTCTACTCTAATGCTTCCACCACAAATCTGTCGGAATGACAAAGACAACAAACAACAAGCAATGCTGTCAACCACCGCAGTGAACTCAATTGGCAGCCACATCAACCAAGGCGATCCGCGAATCGACTCCGGTGCCTGCGCGTGCCGCGTTGCCCGAGCGTCCACAGGCCCGCAAGATCTGTCCAGGGACTTTTTGGGTTCTGGTGCTGAGGGCTTAGGGTTCGCCGGAGGAGATGGGAGCCAAGATTTAGGGCTCGCGTGGTTGCGACATAATTATGGAGCTTTAAGTTTAGATCAATCATTGTGTAGCTTCCAGACTCGGGCTGCTTTGTGTTGATCAGCCGAACAGCGCAGCAGCATGGACTTGACTCGCTGAATGGGCTACCACTGGGCTTAAAGTAGGTCGGAAAGAACTAAGAGCTGAGCGAATGCCGATGGTCCTCATTGTGTTGAGAGTATTGCTTTCGACCAGGATCCTCTACCGTGTCGGCTTTGCTGTTTGTCGCTGAAGCTCGCAGAAGCCAAAAAATCATTGGTTGTAGCAATTTGTTCCTCGGCCGTCTAGTCGTGGTGTTCAAAGGCCTCCCAGCCCTTCATATCCATGCATCAGGAAACTGAGGTTCTCAGTTTCATGCACCCCAGCAAAATCCCAAACTGACGGGTTCGGTCGGCACTCACGATATCGAAGGTACCTTCGAAAAGAGAAAGCGGTTGGACTGCCTGATTGCGAAATCGAGAAGAAGCTTAGTTGTCCCTCATGTAGCGCTGTCGGTGTAGCATGTTCGGCATACTGTATAGACTATCACAAGCAGCATCTCATGCGCAGCTGCTGCCTGCCGCAGCAGACCTTCGTCTTCCTGTTTGGAGACACCTAAGCCAAGACAAAGCCCAGAAGGGTCACGGAGACAAGTTATTGGGGACCAATCGCACAGTCGCCGCTTGGAAATCTGCAAAACTCAGTGGTGCGGATTACCCTTCCTCCCGGCACGCTGCGTGGTTACGCCACCATTGCGTTCAATCTGCCTCTATAGACCTCTCTTTGAACTTCCACCAAGGCCTGCGATTTCACGAAGCAGGCTGTAATTGGATCTTTGTAGTCTGTAATGCCTATAATGTGAGACACTGTCTTGTGATAGACTGTCCTACAGCGAAGGGCACGTAAGTTAAAGCACGTCTAAATATATC